CCCGCCACCTACCCTCAATGAGAGGTTATAGGGCCCTCAATAGCAGCAGTTTTCGGGAACAGAGGGTCGTCCAGTAGGTGGGGTTCTGGGAGAAACTCTACACCTGCAAGAACCCTAAATGGGTAGTTCTTCAAAATAGGCTCCTTTTGGTGTCGCTTTTTGTTGAGGGTGCCATACTATATAGGGAACCCAAAAAGGTACCCAAATTAAGAGCACTTCCCGAGCAAATTACCTTAAACCCTTTCTGGGACCCTCTTTACCTACAGTTTCATGGGTTATACCTACTCATTAAGGGTAGTTACTACTAAACTGTAAGTAAATAGAGCCCCAGGTAAACCTTAGTTAGAGAGAATTACCCTAAGCCCTAAGCCCTAAGCCCTAAGCCCTAAGCCCTAAGCCCTAAACCCTAAACCCTAAACCCTAAACCCTAAACCCTAAACCCTAAACCCTAAACCCTAAACCCTAAACCCTAAACCCTAAACCCTAAACCCTAAACCCTAAACCTTAACTAGAGAGAACTACCCTCAGCCCTGAAAATCTTGGACACGGAGAGGCGCCGCGCTGCTCGCCAGCTTGGCGCTGAGCCGGAGGCTCGCGGGGTTTAGGGTTTGGGGTTTGGGGTTTGGGGTTTAGGGTTTAGGGTTTAGGGTTTAGGGTTCAGGGTTCAGGGTTCAGGGTTCAGGGTTTAGGGTTTAGGGTTTAGGGTTTAGGGTTTAGGGTTTAGGGTTTAGGGTTTAGGGTTTAGGGTCTAGGACTCCCTGAGGCCAAGACCCAAAAGCCCAAAACCCAAAGTCGACTGATGGTGGGCGAGAGGCTTACCCGAATTCTTCAGCCCAGCAAGCTCGGCCCTGAACCCCGAACCCCCTAAATCCCCTAAAGCCCCTAGACTAAACCCCCTAAACCCCCGAAAACCCCTGAACCCCTAAACCCCCCGTAGCCGGGCCTCCCTCGAATACTAAATTACGAAGCCGGGCTTCCCCCGACTCCCCCCAATACTAAATTACGAAGCCGGGCCTCCACCGAACACTAAATTACGAAGCCGGGCTTCCCCCCAATACTAAATTACGAAGCCGGGCCCCCCCGAATACCCCGAACCACCCACCCCCCTTGTCCCCCCCTCCCCCCTCGCCGACCCCTAAAACTAAAACCTAATATCTAACGCTCAAAACGTTTCGCTCAAAACGGTTCGCTCAAAACTTTCCCTCAAAACGTTTCGCTCAAAACGTTATTGGGACCCAAACCCTATACAATTTCTATAAACCCTAAACCCTAAACCCCAAACCCTATAAACCCTACCCATGTTGGTAAGTATTCCCTCCCCCTGGTTGACCCTCAACCCCCGAGCCGCTCTCGCTCCAGGGTCCCGGACAAAGATGCCGAAAGCACGCAGGCAAGACGCCCCGTGGGTTTAGGGTTTAGGGTTTAGGGTTTAGGGTTTGGGGTTTTAGGGTTTTAGGGTTTAGGGTTTAGGGTTTAGGGTTTTGGGTTTAGGGTTTAGGGTTGAGGGTTCAGCGGTTTAGGAGTTTAGGAGGTTTAGGGGTTTAGTGGTTGAGGAATTACGGGGTTTAGGGTTTAGGGGTTTAGGAGGTTCAGGTCAGATTTAAGAATTTAGGATTCAGGGGTTCTGGGGGTTTGGGGCGGAAGGCGGGGGGGGGGTGGGGGGGGGGTTTAGGGTTTCAACATAGAGATGGTGAACGCCCCAAAAGCCACCTGCGATCCCCTGAGCAGCTCCCAGGGAACCCCTGTCCCTAAACCCTAAACCCTAAACCCCAAACCCTAAACCCGAAACCCTAAACCCCAAACCCAAACAACCCTAAATGTGTAGGTTTTTGTGCTATGTGCCCCAGGAAGCTGCCCCAGAAGACCTTAGCCAAAGAATCGCTCGGCGCGACCCAAGAGGTGCAGCCGGTGGCCAAGAGAAGTGTGAGCAGCCGGAGCCACTTCGCCAGTGCGGTCCTCAGAAAAGCCTCGTGTTCTAGGTTTAGGTTTTAGGATTTAGGGTTTAGGGTTTAGGATTTAGGGTTTAGGGTTTAGGGTTCAGGGCAAGAACCTCAAGTGGATGGGGGGGGGGGGGGGTGGGGGGGGGGGGGGGGGGCGGGGGGGGGGGGGGGGGGGGGGGGGGCGGGGGGGGGGGGGGGGGGGGGGGCGGGGGGTGGGGGGTGGGGGGGGGCGGGGGGGGGGGTGGCGGGAAAAGCCCTAAACCCTAAACGCCCAGATTAGGGCCCCACTCTAAATGCCAAATCGCTGTGGCCCCCCTCCCGACGTCTGTCTTAAGACCCCGCCCTCAAACCCTTAAACCCCAACCCTTTACGAATTTTGACCAATAAAGCCCTGATTTCTATCTCGAAGTTGAGCCTCAAGTTTGCCTGAGCGGGGGCATGTTTATGACTCTTACGTGCGCTGGTTCAGATTGGAATCCCTAAAAGCCAGTCACGCTAAACCCAAAAGCGGCTTATAGGGTCAATTAGGGTTAAACCGCGTATTCAGGGGTACAAGAAGGGACCCCTAGAAGGGACCCTGAATCTTTTTCTCCTATACCCTCATAACCTAAGTAGCCCCTAAAGAAGCCCCACAGAACCCCTAAGGTCCCTTATAATGGTCCCTCTTCTCGTCCCCCTAAACCCTAAACCCTAAACCGTAAACCCTAAACCCTAAACCCTAAACCCTGAACCCTGAACCCTGAACCCTAAACCCTAATTAAACCCAAAACCCTAAACCCTAAACCCTAAACCCTAAACCCTAAACCCTAAACCCTAAACCCTAAACCCTAAACCCTAAACGCAGCTGAGCTTGTGAGGCAGCCATGCCTCCTGGGTGTCGCTGGAAGAAGCCGAGTCGCTGCCAGACCCAGACAAGGCCCAGATGCCCCGGCTCTAGGATTTCAGAATGTTCGTTTCGAGTTTCGGGTTTCGGGTTTAGGGTTTAGGGTTTAGGGTTTTAGGGTTTAGGGTGTAGGGTGCAGGGTGCAGGGTGCAGGGTGCAGGGTGTGGTTTAGGTGTTTTCCCTGATCTAAGGGTAGTTACATGGTCCCTCAAGATGGTCCTGATCTTCTTTAAAGGGTTCTGACATATGAGCATAGGGTATATAAGGCGTATATGGGCCAATATCAAGGGACCATGTAACTACCTTGATAAGATAGGGCCCCCCCGAGCATTCATTGAGCAGGGTTTGCAGATGTTGTGGCTTTAGGGCATTTCTGGGTTTGAGGCTTAAAGACTAGAGCGATGCACCATTCGGGTAGAGAGCCAGGCCTCCCCCCTCCCCCCTCCCCCTCCACCTACTACCCACACCCCCCCACCACCCCCCCCACCCCCCCCCCCCCCACCCCACCCCCACAACCCACCCCACACCCCCCCCCCCCCCACCACCCACCCCCCCCCCCCCCCCCACACCCCCCTCCACTCCCCCAACCCCTCCCCCCCCCCCCCCTCCCCCCCCCCATTTTCCCCCCCCCCCCTTACCCCTCCCCCCTCCCACCCCCCTCCACCCCCTCCCCCCCCTCCCCCCCTCCCACCCAAAGTTCCACAATCCTTCAGCTCACGGTGCGGTGTTGCGGTGTCCTCCACGAAAGAAGCTGCCGGGCACCCCTTAGGGTTTAGGGTTTAGGGTTTAGGGTTTAGGGTTTAAAACCCTCAGCCCTAAACCCTAAACCCTATTGGTTAATAAGGATCATGAACCTCCAAGTAAAACCAAACCTGAAACCCTGAACCCGCGCTTTCGCTCGGATGCAGAAGCCTCCCGGCCGATCTTCCGGTTTAGGGTTTAGGGTTTAGGGTTTGGCGGAACGCGGAATGTTAGAACCTAAAACCTTCAACAGAAACACCAAAGATCCTGTAAACAAAAGACTTGCAGCCGAAACCCAAAAGCCCGAAACCCGAAGTCCCGAGAGTTAAACGCTACACTCGTAACCCCACACCCTAACCGAAACCCTACAACCCCAAAACCTCAACCCTAAGCCCTGAGACTCTAAAACCCTAAGACGCTAAAATCCTAAAAATACGAAGCCCTACCTGAGACCCTAACACCTCAACACCCTGATACCCTAAAACCCAAAAACCCTAAAACCTTAAACCCCCAAAACCGTCAAAGCCTAAACCCCAAACCTTACTAAACCCGAAACCCTAAACCCTAAACCCTAACCTTATGCCAGGGCTTTCGCCCATGGGGATGCGCCGTGGAAGACTTCCACGTCTTAGCCAGGGCCACAGTCGGGGAGTTCTAGTTCTTTTTTGGGTCTTTAGGGTTCAGGGTTTAGGATTTAGGGCGTCATTTTGGGCGTTAGTTTTCTTTTTTTCTTTAATGGTTTGTAGGGCTTTCAAGAGTTTAGGTCTTTTTTGGGAGTTTTAGGATTGTTTCGTCTTTTTGGGTGTTCCGGGCCTGAATAGGGAATACTATTGGGCCTTAAAGTACCTCCTGTATGGGCACTTGGCGGTCCAAATACATAGACTGTCAGGGAGCTATCATTGGATGCCGCGACGTGGCATGCACCGTCGGCGGCTCACGCGTGCACGGCGACGGCTTACACGTCGTCGCTACCTAGAACCCTAAACCCGAAACCCGAAACCCTAAACCCTAAACCCGAAACCCTAAACCCTAAACCCTAAACCCTAAACCCTAAGACCCTCAACCCTGGTTCCCAGAGATGGACTTCGCGCCAGGGATGAGGCGTCACTGGTCCATGCTCAGCTCGCCCTCTATGTTTTTTTTGTTTTCAGCAGTTTTTCGATCCGTTAGGTTTTAGGGTTTAAAATTTAGGGTTTAGGGTTTAGGGTTTAAAATTTAGGGTTTAGGTTTTAGGGTTTAAAATTTAGGGTTTAGGGTTTAGGGTTTGGGGTTTGGGGTTTGGGGTTTAGAGTTTGTATAAATATCCACTGTAGTTGCCTCAATACGGCTAGTAGTATCATGGTACGTTACAAGTTCTTACTCCAGTGATTTTCCTATCGTTCTCGTTAGCCATATAAGCCCTCTACAAACCGTGTCTTAAGGTACTTCCTGGGACCATGGGGTCCCGAGTCTTTACACAGTGAGGTACATGGAACTCGTCATGGAACCCTAAACCCTTAAACCTACACCCTGTACCCTCCGTGTACCTTAAAGTGCTTCCTGTACAGGGACGATGGTGGCCCGAGTTTTTAAACAGTGAGGTACACGGAACTCATCATGGAACCCTAAACCCTAAACCCTAAACCCTAAACCCTAAACCCTAAACCCTAAACCCTAAACCCTAAACCCTAATGTACATGGACCCTCACAATCGAGGGAAGTCTAAGACGTCCCTGCGGATGTGAGGAGCGGCTCGGTGAGGGCTCCCTTGGCTGCGTCACCAAAGTGGCGCACGTGATGACCGGCGAGGTGGCTCGAAGCTTGAAACCCTAAACCCTAAACCCTAAACCCTAAACCCTAAACCCTTAACCGGGGTTTAAGGTTTGAGGACCCCCCGCAGGGCCCTGATCCCTAAGCCCCACGATCTCGTCACCAGCGCTTTAGAGGCCTGAAGGTTTTAGGGTTTAGGGCTGAGGGTTGAGGGTTTAGGGTTTAGGCCCAGGGCCCTAAATTAGATGTCCTCCATGGTTTCAGAGGCTATGGTCCAGCATTGTTTGAGTTCGCTTCAGGGCCTTTAGCTCCCTAAATGGAATGCAATCCCCTGAAAGGGGCCCCTCAAAAAGGGTATCCCTAGTTTCAGAAACCCCAAAACCCCTATGGTTTAGTCTTCAGGGTGAGGCTTTAGGGTTCAGGGTTCAGGGTTTAGGGTTTAGGGTTAACCCTCCCCAAAGTGCAGTTTAGGGTTTCAGGGTTTCCCGGCATTTCATCCCTAAACCCGAAACGACCCCTAAACCCTAAACCCTAAACCCTAAACCTTAAACCCTATACCCTATACGCTAAACCCTAAACCTTAACGACCTTATAAGCCCAAGCCTGTAAACCCCATGTTTCTAGACCTATAACCTCAAGCCCTCAACCCTATCGCAACAACTCGCTGTGGAGATTCGTGGGAGCAGCCCTAGACCCTAAACCCTAAACCCTAAACCCTAAACCCTAAACCCTAAACCCTAAACCCTGCAGGTCTTTGCATTGAAAGCCATTGCGCGCCAGCGGGTCAAGGACTGTAGTCTTAGTATGGTCTCCATTGCTCTTTATTTCAGGAGCCCCTAAAAAAAAACACAGAAACATAAGGGTCCTACTATTGGGGTATAAGGGCCCCTATAAGGGGGATCCTTATGTTTATGTGGTTTTTTTGGGCCCCTATTTCTACTACTTGCTTAAGAACCCCAAAAAGAATTTTTTTAAAAAATGATAATCCCTATATTGCCCTTAATAAGGAAGAGTAGGATTTTTTGGGGGGTTCTTAAGTAATTAGTAGATTATAATGGGGCTCAGGAAGTTGAAGGAATTTAGGGTACATGGCGTTGCGGGTCTTAGGAGCTTAGGGCCTGTAGGTTAGGGTTTAGGGATTAGGGTTTAGGGTTTCGGGTTTAGGGTTTAGGGTTTCGGGTTTAGGGTTTCGGGTTTATCGGGTGTAGGGTTTTTTGATTGGAGCCGAAGCTCCAACGGCGCGTCCTAAACCCTGAAACCCTAAACCCTAAACCCTAAACATCCTAAACCCTACATCCCCATTCCCAAGCAGCAGATGACAGGAGCACTGCCTCCAGCAGTACGTCGAACGGGAGGCTGCTTGGATCTTCATGGTACCTATGGTACTTATTAACTATAACTGTACTTTCGGGGTTTAGGGTTCAGGGTTCAGGGTTTTTAGGGTTCAGGGTTTAGGGTTTAGGGTTTAGGGTTTAGGATTATAACTGTACTTATAGCTGCACTTGTAACCATATTTGGCCGCTTAAGGGGCCTATGAGGCTCCGGCAAATTCATCGCAGGGTCTTTTCATGATGGTGGGGTTTGGTGTTGTGTTTAGGGTGTCGGGCTAGGGTTTAAGGTTTAGGTTTCAGGATTTGACAGGGTTCTGCACCAAAAATGGGGGGGTTTACGAACAAATGGGGCCCGTAATATAATCCCCCAAATAGTAGGAACGCCTTGTAATAATGGCCCTATAAGGTACCCTTAATTTCGGAGACCCCTAAACCCTAAACCCTGAACCCCAAACCCTAAAGCCTCAACCCTCAACCCTCAAACCCTAAGCCCTAAACAACAGCACTATAAACCCTGTTTCACATATGCCTTGCACTCTGAGCCGCCTCGGAGGCTTTGCGGCTTCGGGTCATTTCTTTCAGAGCGGATTCCCTCACGTGGCTCGAGCGATCCGAGCTTGGGATTCGGGTTTAGGGTTTAGGGCTAGGGCGTCAAGTTTCCCTAATCGCCTCTTAGGGTTTTCGTGCCAGAGCACCCACTCGATGACTTAAACTGCACAGGTCGCCACGCAACAGCGCCTCAACCATCCCAACATCGTGCGGCTGTACGAGTACTTTGAGGAAATGGTGCGGGCTGGGGGAAGGGGAGGGGAGGGAGGGTGTTGTCGGACCAATCAGGTCCTTCAAAGAAGTTGATTGGCTTCGGGCTAGACTTGGGCCATCGGGGCTTAGGTTTGAGGGTGTATAGGGCTTTCGCAGGGCTCAGAGGGTGTAGCCTCCGGATTGTTCCAAAGGCCCTTTCAGTCAGTGGCAATGGACTTTGGAACTAGCAAACAGCCACTGCCATTACATTTTCGCCAGTGTTCCAGCAAGTATACGCCGTCCGCAAAGATCTTGCATAATTACAAACCGCCCTTGCATGCCTTTGCATGGCTCTGGTCATCTTCATTGATCAGCTTCGTCAACAGGAGCAAATCCTCAACATCACCGTCATCATTCATTCATTCATCCATTCATTCATGCATGCATGCATTCATCCATTCATTCAGTCATTAATTTCATTCATTCATTCATTCATTCATTCATTCATTCATTCATTCATTCATTCATTCATTCATTCATTCATTCATTCATTCATTCATTCATGCATTGATTCATTCATTCATCCACCCATCAATCCAACCATTAATTCGTTCAATCGGTCATTCGTTCCGTTCATTCATTCATTCGTTCATTCGTTCATTCATCCATCATCGTCAAGGTCAAAAAGGCAATCATCAACATAATCATCGCTTTGTTCGTCGCCTTGTCCTGGGTCCTGGTCCTCATCGTCCTGGTGCTCGTCCTCGTCCTTATCCTCGTCTTTGTTGCGAACCCTAAACCCTAGATCCTAAATCCTAAACTCTAAACCCTAAACTCAAGTCGCCGCGCGCCTCTTTCGTTGCGAAAGCTTTTTGACAAAATTCAATGAGCCAGCGTAGAAGTTGCATTAGCAATGGGGTTGTGGGGACCACAAGTGGAGTTTAGGGTATGCTTGGAGGTTTATAGCTGCACTTACATCCATTAGGGCACTCAAGGGTCTTAGAAGTGGGGTTATAGGTACCGTCAGAATTGGTTAAAAAGTACCATGAACCTCCATGTAACCCGAAACCCTAAACTCCTTAAACCCTAATCCCTAAACCTCCAAGTAGGGAACCGCCAAGTAGTGTTTAGGGTGATCCCCAGGACGCGGAGAGGGTGTACTTGCTCCTGGAGTTTGTCCGCGGCCCAGGAGAGAGTCCCGGGATGCGTCGCAGCCCATCGGCTTAGGGTTTAGGGTTTAGGGTTTAGGGTTTAGGGTTTAGGGTTTAGGGTTTAGGGTTTAGGGTTTAGGGTTTAGGGTTTAGGGTTTAGGTTTGGGGTTTAGGGTGTCTTGGGTTTCGGGTCTAGTCGAGGGTTTAGGGTTCATAGGCTAGGAACCTAAACCCTAACTGAGCTTGTCGTGCATTTTGGAGTTGAGGATTCTGATTTAGGGTACCAGGGCTTTCAGTTTCAGAAAACCCATGAGTTATGGGTTTAGCCGTGAAGGCCTCTTGTTGATTCGGGGGGGGGGGGGGGGGGCGAGACTGGTCTCAGCCCAACTTTACAGCTACTCACTTTGGGCTAAGCCTGTGTAAAGCCAAAAGAGTGACCTTTTTCAATTACTAGGTTTCGTAGTTGTTGGATGATGGCGCAGGTTTCTGCAAGAGCGGAAAAGAAGCGTTCTGCCTCAGTACCGCACTTGGAGGTTCATGGTACTTATTAACCTATTGTAACTGCACTTATGACCCACTTATGCGCCCCTTAAGTGCCCTAATATGGTGTCAAGCACAGTTATACAAACAGGGACTGTTGGTTAGTAAGTACCATGAACCTCCAAGTAGACCTAAACCTGAACCCTGAACCCTGAACCCTAAACCCTAAACCCTAAACCCTAAACCCTAAACCTCCAAACAGTGTTTCGGGCAGTCTTTGACGGGGGGGGGGGGGGGGGGCATTTCCAGCGAGATGGCTCCCAGGTCTCAACGATCTGGAGCTGCCACCCTAAAAGGCCCCAAACCCTAACAACCAAGAGTTTGGGGTTTTCTTTGTGGTACTTTACTGTAACTTTAGATCCTTACCTTTTTTGGGTTCATTGGGTTCTTATTAAGGCAGCTAAAAGTTTAATTTATAGCTACCCTCCTGAGTGCAGCCAAGTTTTGGGTTTAGGATCTAGGGTTTCGAGTTGAAGGTAACCCTAAACCCTAGCCCTAAACCCGTCGAGTGATGGTCCTCATTCCGAGCCCGCTGGAGTTGCGAACGTCGTGGGAACAATGAGGCGGATGTCGATCAAGCATGAGATTGGGGACTTCCTCCCTCAACGGCCGAAAGTCCTGACGGCCGCCAACAAACCTAAATCCTAAACCCTGGAAATAAGCCCTAAACCCTAAACCCTAAAGGTGAGAGTTTTAGGACTCGGGGTGTTTGTTGGGACTCGGGTTGAGGGTTGGACAGACGGCCAGTTCTCTAAAACAATGTTCCCTTTTGGGGCCTCATTTAAACTCCAAGCTCCACTCCTTTCAACTCTAGGGTTTAGGGTTTAGGGTTTAGGGCTCAGGGTCGAGAATATATTTAGGGGGCTTAGTATTTGATCGAGATGGCATGAACCATGAACAACAACCACATGTGGGGGTTTCCGAAGATAGGGTTACTTTTTTTTTTTTTTTGGGGGGGGGGGGGGGGGTTTTAAAGGGATTCTATTGTATTTGGGGTATAAAAGGGGTACCCCTGTTTTGGGAACCTAAATCTTCTGGAAAGCCAGCAGAGTCCTGCAACAAGAATGGGGCACATCCGCTTCGCCCATCGAGACAGCCAGCAGCAATATCTACTAACCCGAAACCCTAAACCCTAAACCCTAAACCCTAAACCCTAAACCCCCTAAGACTACGATCCCCGTTGTAGTCCTTGCTAAGGGAGGGGGTCTATTCATCAGGGGTCGACACTACCAGTCCGAGACTAGTTGTTAAGGTTTTACCCTAAACCCTAAATCCTAAACCCTAAACCCTAAACCCTAAACCCTAAACCTAGGGTTCTAAACATCTGTCCAGGGGCTCGGAATATACCTCCTTGGTAAGAAGATCCTAGCCAACCTGGGACCCGGAGACGGTCCTCATTTCTTTGTTTTGTTTAGGGTCTCTTATAAACCCCTTAAAACGGTTTAGGGTTTAGGGTTTAGGGTTTACCCCTTCTATTCCGAGGCTACTCCTGGGTCTAGCAACCAAGGGAAGCTACCATTTTGCAACAACTAGCGCTTGAAATGCACGTAACCCTGCCTAACTGTAAGTACCCTTCAACCCCAGAAACCAAAAGTCCCACAACACCCTCAGGCCATCGCCCCGAAAACCCAGAATCTTAAAACACCAAGTTCCGCCCGAAACTTGAAACCAGGAAGTTTCATGTAGACAGTACCCACACCCCGGCCAACACTATTAAACTGTACCCTAAGGGTCCATGTACCTCATTATCATATACTTGGGACCCAACGTCCCTATTTAGGAAGTACTTTAAGGCCCACGTAGTCATTATTAAGGTACATGGACCCTTATAGGGCTACATTGCAAACCCTAAACCCTAAACCCGACCCCCCGAAGCATCATGTCGTCGATTTCAGTGGATGTGCATCTGCTGAGTGGAAAGGCGGCAACTCTGACCGTGGAGGCGGATGCATCTGTAGAGTCGCTGAAGAGGTTCGCCCAAAGTGCTCTAAACGTTGGCCAAGGCAGGCTGTTGAACTCTTCTGGAGAGGTGCTTGAGGGAGCGTCAAGTATCAAAGAAGCAAGGCTGCAGAACGGTGACGTGCTAACCCTGCATGTGACGCAGGTCACACTTGCAGCCACCAGCCACTTGCTTTGGGGTTCGGCATTCGCTGCGATCCTGGGCGATGGATCTGTGGTCACGTGGGGTGATGCTCACTGTGGTGGCGACAGCAGTGCCGTGCAGGAGCTTCTAAAGAATGTGCAGCAGATCCAAGCTTCCAATCGTGCATTTGCCGCAATCCTGGGTGATGGATCTGTGGTCACCTGGGGTTATGCTCTCTATGGTGGCGACAGCAGTGCCGTACAGCAGCAGCTGAGGAATGTGCAACAGATCCAAGCTTCCAGCCACGCATTTGCTGCAATCCTAGGCGATGGATCTGTAGTCACCTGGGGTCATGCTGACTATGGTGGTGACAGCAGTGATGTACAGGAGCAGCTGAAGAATGTGCAACAGATCCAAGGTTCGTGTGGTGCATTTGCTGCAATCCTGGGCGATGGATCTGTGGTCACCTGGGGGCATCCTAGCTTTGGTGGCGACAGCAGTGCCGTACATGAGCAGCTGAAGAATGTGCAACAGATCCAAGCTTTGGCTTCCTATGATGCATTTGCTGCAATCCTGGGCGATGGATCTGTGCTCACCTGGGGTGTGGCTGCACGTGGTGGTGACAGCAGTGCTGTACAGGAGCAGCTGAAGAATGTGCAACAGATCCAAGGTTCCCAGCGCGCGTTTGCTGCAATCCTGGGCGATGGATCTGTGGTCACGTGGGGTGATGCTCACTGTGGTGGCGACAGCAGTGCCGTGCAGGAGCTTCTAAAGAATGTGCAGCAGATCCAAGCTTCCAATCGTGCATTTGCCGCAATCCTGGGCGATGGATGTGCGGTCACATGGGGTGATCCTAGCTTTGGTGGCGACAGCAGTGCCGTACAGGAGCAGCTGAAGAACGTGCGACAGATTCAAGTTTGTTCGTCTGGTGCATTTGCTGCAATCCTGGGCGATGGATCTGTGGTCACCTGGGGTGATGCTCTCTATGGTGCCGACAGCAGTGCCGTACAGCAGCTGCTGAGGAATGTGCAACAGATCCAAGCTTCCAGCTACACATTTGCTGCACTCCTGGGCGATGGATCTGTGGTCACCTGGGGTCATGCTGACTATGGTGGCGACAGCAGTGCCGTACAGGAGCAGCTGAAGCATGTGCAACAGATCAAAGCTTCGTCTGCTGCATTTGCTGCAATCCTGGGCGATGGATCTGTGGTCACGTGGGGTCATGAGGGTCACGGTGGCGACAGCAGCGCTGTACAGGAGCAGCTGAAGAAGGTGCAACAGATGAGCGACCGTCTAAGCTGCCGCCTCTTGTAGCATGACTAGCGGCGGACAAAATCGTTTTTTTATCACGGGAGAGCGATACCTGATCCAAGAGCGATACCCTTTTTTTCCTGGGAAAGCGATATAATGTAGGTATGTATATAACCAATATAAATACATACATATAAATATGTATACATATATATATATATATACATCTATATATACAAAGAGTATTGTATGTATGTATGTATGTATGTATGTATGTATGTATGTATGTATGTATGTATGTATGTATGTATGTATGTATGTATGTATGTATGTATGTATGTATGTATGTATGTATGTATGCTTGTTTGTTTGTCAAGATATAAGACTTCTGTCACCTCCCAGTGCAGCCAGTACCTGAGCTGACTTCCCACACTCCGCGTGTGGCTCAAGCCGACAAGTAAAAGGACTTCTGGGAGTTGCAGTCACTTCGTGTTTCAGCGTTGAGCTCTGATTGTTTGTCGTCACACTTCAGTAGTGTGAATTTTTCATGGTAGCGGAGCACTAAGTGCTCCAGAGAGACTTCGGGTAGGTGGCATGCAGAGCTAGAAGGTGAGCTTGCAGGCAAACTTCGGTTGCCGCTTCCTTCAGTGTTTAATGGAGCCCCAGAATCCTGGGAAGAATGGGAATGGAACTTCACTATCTATGTTGCTCTTTTCGATGCCGATGTAAGTCAACTTCTCGAGCGGAGTGCAGCTTCAGATGCCGAAATCGAGGATGCACACTTCGCACAGTTCGGACATCCGCGCGCACAACAGCTTCACGCGTTCAGTCGAAAACTTCATGTTCTTTCGGCGAATCTCACTTCCGGCGCAGCGAAACTTTTAGTGCGACAGAACATCGGTGGAAACGTCTTCGAAGCATGGCGTAGGTTGAAGCAGAAATTCAGCATGCCCGACGCGCAACGCGGACATTCACTTCTTGCACAAGTGTTGGATTGGAGGTTTAACACGGCGACCTTTGAACAGGACTTCAACGCATGGGAGACAGTGAAGATTCGTTACGAAGCGCTGACCGGCGCACTTCTGCCCGACGGAGTTCTTATTGCCACGCTACAAAAAAAACTTCAGGACCGCTTCAGCAGCATCTGCGTTTGAATTCTACTTCCCTTCGCACGTTTGCACAGATGCGTGAGATCATTGTTTCTGACTTCAGGTCTCGGTTGATGCTTCAGGGCACTGCAACTTCCCAGAACCAAGGTCCAGCTCCAATGGACATAGGAGCAGTCGGCAAAGGATGGAAAGGAAAAGGAAAGAAAGGAAAAGGAGGAAAAGGTGGCTTCGGTCACTGGAACTTCATGAAAGGTAAAGGAAAAGGAAAGAGTCTTGGAAAAGGCCCGAACTTCGGTTCAGGAAAGAAAGGAAGCAAAGGAAACTTGAGCAAAGGCAAAGGAAAAAGAACAGGTGGTTTTGGGAATGCAAAAGGAGCGCGAGTCTCTTGAGCACTTCGAGGTGTTTGAAGAGCGTCTTGAGTCGGAGTGTACAGAGGAGCAACTTCAGAATGCCATCTCAACTAAGTGGGTCAAGCGCCCAAAAAGAGATGGTGTGAGATGTCCCGTGTGCGTGCGTGGCTTCGACCAGCTACTTCGCTATCTGCAAGGAACCAAGGCCTGTGTCTTGACACTTCGACCGAGAGTCAAGCTGCGTGAGCACATGACTTCTCTTGATGTCGTAACATATGTAGACTCGGATTGGGCAGGCTGTGTTCAGACACGTAAGAGCACTTCAGGTGTTGCAGTGTTCTTCAACGGTGCTTTAATTGCTTCGCAAAGCCGCGCCCAACAGACGATCGCGACTTCTAGTGGCGAAGCAGAGCTTTACAGCATCGGTCTTGGCACTTCGGAATGCCTCTTCGTGAAATCCCTGCTTCTCGAAATGGAAATCACTTCGAAAATCAACATCCGCGTTTTTACCGGTTCCTCGGCCGGAACTCGATGAGCGCTCGCTTCGGGGTCGTCATGTCGAACTTCGTTTCTTGTTCATGCAAGAGTTGGTTCAACAAAGCATACTTCAAATAAAGAAAGTTGCTGGTGCTTCGAATCCTGTACTTCTGAAGCACCTAGGAGCCTTAGGAGTAGGGTATCCTTTTGGTAGGGTAGCCTAACTTGTTGAGTTGAGCCAGGTAGCTGAGAGTAAGTTTCACTTCAATTTGAATTTGAGCCAGAGCTCCCCTCAGGTATGTGATATTTCAGGGTTCCCGGAAGTCCGAATGCTTCAGAACTTGCCCAGAGCTGACTTGCAGGACTTCACGTCCGCTGCCGACATTTCGGTTGCAACTTCGTGCCTTGGTTTTTTCGCTTGCCGCCATGGTTTGCTGACTGCATCACCTCATGATGCTCCTGTGATGGACTTGCGACACTTCTTTTGGTGTTCGTTTTGCTGCGTGGATGGTGTGGAACTTCAAACCGGATTGTGCCCAATTTTCTTGGGACATGACTTCTTTACTTCACACCGGATTGTGCTCGCTAAGCGAGACTTCTTTGTGATTGCCGAGCTCTATAACCGCTTCTACTTCAACTTCGTGCACAACAATGGCACCCAAGGCAGCGGTTCTCGGACTTCATGCCTCGGCACTTCCTCCTCCGAGTTCCCCTCAAGAGGCGCAGGTCATGCGGGACTTCAAAGGCTTCGTGCAGCAACATTCGCTGTACGTCCCGTCGGTGAACTTCCTACAAGCAATTCCACATCCTCCGCGTGTGGCTTCAAGCGCACTTCCGCCAGGAGTGACCCCAGAGTTGCGCTACACTTCAAGTCTGCGTGAGCAGGTTCGAGGACTTCATCCCATGATGTTCTTGAGGATGAACCAAGCGGCCGATCTACTTCGTGTCTCTTTCTACGGCAGAGAGGCTGCTCGACTTCTTGGTCGTGGTCGAGAGCACTTCGGCTGGACCCACTTCGCTGGGATGAGCGACTTCGCCATCGACAACCCCAACTACACCCACCATAACACAGTGGAAGACTTCCTGGAAGCTCTTCGCACAGGTAAGCAGGTGACCAAGCTTTTCGTGCCAAACACTTCGGAGTTTGGTGCGATCTATGCCTGCCTTCAACTTCGCCCTGGAGACAATGACTTCATGATCGGTGGACTTCAAGCCTTGATGCTCTTCCCTGGTGTCTTTGGTGGCTCCACTTCCTATGTGTCGAATGAGGTCGACTTCTACCTCCACTTCAGCCCTGTCTTCACTGCCCCGAACTTCATTGACAGGATGCCTGAGCTGTCAGTGCGATTGTGGTATTGCGCCACACTTCATATTCTTTTGACTTGGCTGTCAAAAGGAGGCACTCCACTTCGACTTCAGAGTGCCATGCAGCCCTTCGCAGGCGACCACCTCAACTTCTGCATGTGCCCCAGAGCAGCCATTTGGTTGGCCAGCTTTGGACTTCAGTTGATGCTGGAGGAAAATCCCACTTCGGCAAATGTGCATCTTCGCAGTCCGATTGGACTTCTGAGTGTGAGGCTGACTTCGCAGCAGATCACAAACTTCATCGATGGCAACCACTTCAGGGTGTGGAACCGTCGCTACATCGACTACTTCATCAATGTGACTTCCGGTGACATCGAAATCACGTCAGCGATGGCCAACACGATGTCGATCCTCAAGCTTCCTGGCACCTGGCAGGACTTCTTCACCCTGGCGTGGAATCAGACTTCCCATGGGCGCAATCGCTACATGCACATGCCACTTCGCCCCAGCGACTTCAGTCGCTTTGATGAAGCAAGCGAAGGAGACTTCTGGATCTCGAGGGCATTGGCTGTGCAGTCACTTCGTGCCCGCTACAGAGGAGCACTGCTGAAGTGCACTTCGGATCTGAGGAGATTTCATTCCCGTCTCGGAACTTCTTTGTCATTTCTCACTTCCGGATTAGAGTGTTGTGGACTTAATCCACTTCGATGTTTGCTTGGAGGACTTCCAACTTCACCTAATCTCACTTGCTTTTGAGAGTACAGCTTCACTTCAGCATATGGGTTGAAACAGCTTCGTTCAACTTCGCTGTTTCAAGGGAGCGTGTCAAGATATAAGACTTCTGGATCCCTCCCACTGCAGCCAGTACCTGAGCTGACTTCCCACACTTCGCGTGTGGCTCAAGCCGACAAGTAAAAGGACTTCTGGGAGTTGCAGTCACTTCGTGTTTCAGGGTTGAGCTCTGATTGTTTGTCGTCACACTTCGGTAGTGTGAATTTCTTCATTGTTTGTTTGTATGTTTCTATATTTATATGTATGTGTGTGTGTGTATGTGTACTCATACTTTGTTCGCTATACCAGAACGCCAATAAACGCTGAAGCTCGTCTGGGCCTGGCACGAAGCAAAAGCAGCTTTGAGGGCTATGAATAGGGTTTAGGGTTTAGGGTTTAAGGATTAGGGTTTAGGGTTTAGGGTTCAGGGTTGATTGTAGCACATCTCATTTTCATCGTGCGCCCCAACTACCCCCCTACCCAAAATGAGGCTCCTTTTTGGGGCATCGTTTTGGGGTAGGGCAGGGATTGTTGCAAATCCTTCCAAAGGCCAGGATCCTGGAACAAAAGGGCCCCTAAACCCTCAACTCTCAAGCATCAACCCTAAACCCTAAACCCTGAACCCTAAACCCTAAACCCTAAACCCTAAACTCTAAACCCCAGATCAAGGAGCTTTCGATGCTTCAGGGCCACTTGAGCGGATGCTTGAAGCAAGAGTAGACGTACCCAATCCTTGTCATAGTTGGGAAACATTTTACTTTATTAAACCCTGCACCCTAAACCCTAAACACTAAACCGTTTAAGGGTTTTAAAACCCAACTCTTCGTCACCCAATAAGGAATATAAATGCAAATTTTTCATACCATCCCAATATAAATGTAAATTGTTAATACTACCCCAATGTAAATGTAAATTTTTAATACTATCCCAAGATAAATGTAAAAGTTCAATACTATCCAAATGTGAAAGTAAATTTTAATACTATCCCAAACATTTTTTCAGGGTACTTAAATCCAATAAGGAATATACACTTTAAAAAACATTTAATACTACCCCAACCATGAGTCAGCAACCGGGTCCTGGGGTTCAAGATATCAACCCTAAGTCCCAAATCCTCAGCCAGAACAACAAAGCAAAATGAGCCCTAAACTCGAAACTCGAAACCCTAAACCCTAAGCCCTAAGCCCTAAGCCCTAAGCCCTAAACCCTAAACCCTAAACCCTAAACCCTAAACCCTAAACCCTAAACCCTAAACCCTAAACCCTAAACCCTACACCCTACACCCTAAACCCTAAACCCTAAACCCTAAACCCTAAACCCTAAACCCTTCCTTCGTGTTCTCCCAGGCACCAGAGGGCACCCTCTACTCGAAGATCCGGAATCAGGGCAGCCTCGCTCATGCAGAGGCAAGGTTTAGGGTTTAGGGTTTGGGGTGTTCCGAAGTGCCGCGGTCCCGACCCGCCAGGGAGTGGTGGCGGGTCGGGCCGCCTCGGTGCAGCGGATCCCACCCCAGCCACCCAAACTACCGCCTTTTTCGGGTTTAGAGCGGTCTAACCCCAAGTGGGCTTTCACCTCGACTCTCCCCGATGGCCGGGATGGGAGGTATGACTGCTGCTGCTGCTGCTGCTGCTGCTGCTGCTGCTGCTGCTGCTGCTGCTGCTGCTGCTGCTGCTGCTGCTGCTGCTGCTTGAGCCTACACTTTCCTGGATCAACAGGGAGCGGGACAAGCTGTTTCATCCGTGCTGTGTTTAAGACACCCTCAAGCCCATAGCTAAGCCATGGCGGGGGGCAACCCTGGCGGGGGCAACCCTGCCAGGGCAACGGCAACCCTGCCAGGGCAACCTTGCCAGGGCAACCCTGCAACCTGGCGGGGACAACTGAGGGCAACCCTGGTGCCGGCAATATTGGGGCAGGCGAGGGCAACCCTGGCGGGGGCAACCCTGGCAGGGGCAACCCTGGCGGGGGCAACCCTGGCGGGGCAACCCTGCACCCTGGCGGAGCCCCTGGCAGGGGCAGCCTGGCGGGGGCAACGCTGGTGGGCAAACCCCGGCGGCCAACCCTGGTGGGGGCAGCTCGGGCGGGGGCAACCCTGCTTGGAGGTTCATGGGACTTAAGAACCACTTATAACTGGGCTTATAACCCTTACTTATCATTGGGATAACCCCCAAAAAACTCCCTAGAGGTAGTATAAGTAGGGTTATAAGTACAGTTATCAGTGTTCGTAAGTAGCATGAACCTTCAAGTGGCGGGGGCAACCCTGGGGGGGGGGGGGTACTGGCCCTGGTGGGAGCAACCCTGGCAGGGGCAACCCGGTCACTGTCACTCTGGCAACTGTCACTTAAGAACCACTTATTTTTTAGGGCTTTTTTTTGAGTAGGGTAACCCTGACTGGTGGGGGCCACCCTGGCAACCCTGGCGGGGGCAACCCTGGCGGGGGCAACCCTGGTGGGGGCAACCCTGGCGGGGGCAACCCTGGCGGGGGCAACCCTGTCACTGTCACCCTGGCAACCCTGTCACTTAAGAACCACTTATTTTTTTGGGGCTTTTTTTTAGTAGGGAAACCCTGCGAGGCAACCCTGGCGGGGGCACCCCTGGCGGGGGCAACCCTGGCGGGGAACCCTGGAGCAACCCTGTCACCATGGTGGAGGGTGGCGGCAAACCCTCGCGAGGTAACCCCTGGTGGGGGCAACCCTGGCGTGGGGGCAACCCTGGCGCTGCAACCCTGGTCGGGGCAACCCCCTGCGGGGCAAACTGTCAGGTGGGGGCAACCCTGGGGGCAACCCCCCTGGCAGGGAACCTGGCGGGGGCAACGCTGGTGGGCAACCCCGGCGGGGGCAAACCTGGCGGCCAACCCTGGCGGGGGCCACCCTCGCGGGGGCAGCCCCTGCTTGGAGGTTCATGGGACTTAAGAACCACTTATACCTGGGCTTATAACCCTTACTTATCATTGGCATAACCCCCAAAAAACTCCTAGAGGTAGTATAAGTAGGGTTATAAGGGGGGCAACCCTGGCAGGGGCAACCCGGTCACTGTCACTCTGGCAACCCTCACTTAAGAACCACTTATTTGTTAGGGCTTTTTTTGAGTAGGGTAATCCTGAGTGGTGGGGGCCAGCCTGGCAACCCTGGCGGGGGCAACCCTGGCGGGGGCAACCCTGGCGGGGGCAACCCTGGTGGGGGCCCCTAAACCCTGTCACTGTCACCCTGGCAACCCTGTCACTTAAGAACCACTTATTTTTTGGTTTCCTGCGGGGCAACCCTGGCGGGGGCACCCCTGGCGGGGGCAACCCTGGCGGGGAACCCTGGCAAGGGCAACCCTGGCGCTGCAACCCTGGCGGGGGCAACCCTGGCGGGGGCAACCCTGCGGGGGCAACCCTTCAACCCTGCGGGGCAACCCTGATAGATTGCCTGTCAGGTCGCCCTGGCGGGGGGGAACCCTGGCGGGGGGCTACGGCGGGGGCGTAGGGGCTTCTTAGGGCCCGACCTCCCCCGCCGGGGTGGCGCGTCAGGGGTTTAGGGTTAATCCATTATTACATTGTGCCCTATGGCTAGCACTGCTTGGCAAAGCAAGCAGATCTCGAAGCGGTAGCGTTCAGTTGTACCGGCCGCCGCCTGGTGCGGGCTATGGTTTAGGGTTTAGGTTTAGGGCCAAGTTTGGGGTTTGGGGTTTAGGGTTTGGGGTTTGGGATCCAGGGTTTAGGGTTTGGGGTTGAGGGTTTAAGGTTCAGAGGGTTCAGAATTTATATACGGTTTGGGGTTGAGGGGTTAGAGGGTTTAGGGTTTAGGGTTTCCGGAATTGGGACGCCCAGCATTGCCGTGTTGCAGGGGTTGGGGTTCCTTTGTAATAAGCCTAAACCCCTCTAAACCCGAAACCCTTAACCTGGGGGGGGGGGGGGGTATGCTTTAGGGAACAATGAACTCCCCGACACCCAAATCCTAGCCAAGTTTGAAGAAGGCAAGGGTTTAGGGTTAGGGTTTAGGGTTTAGGGCCGTTCAGCTTAAACGCATGAACCCACAAAGCCCACGACCACAACATCGACAGAAGCCCTAGACCCTAAGCAACAAACGTTTCTAAGCCCTGAAGCGAACCCGAAGACCCAATCGCGCCCGCCACCTCTGCGCAGGTAACCGTTAACTTTTTTGGGTAAAAAGAATCCGACTATATGTTATATTTTATGTATATATATACATAATATATATATATATATATACATATATATATAGATAGATTGATAGATATGAGGTTGACCTTTTGGGGGGCTAGGGTATCCAGCCCCTAACGGGAACAATTCACAGGCCGCCTCCATCTTCGCTGACGTCGCACGGGCTGTCATGCACCTTCACAGGACATCGACCGCCCTAAAGCCATACAACCTAAGCCCCAAACCCAAACCCTAAACCCTAAGCCTTCAGCCCAGTTTAAGTTCTGAAGTTGCGAAGGGAGGGCCCAAAGCCCCCACGAATCTGAGGTTAAAGTCACGCGCAGTTGTGCAACGTGGGGAGGCGTTTGCCTAAACCCCTAAACCCCTAAACCCCTAAACCCCTAAACCCCTAAACCCCTAAACCCCTAAACCCTAAACCCTAAACCCTAAACCCTAAACCCTAAGCCCTAAACCCTAAACCCTACACCCCAAACCCTACCCCCAAAAAAAGCTGTCTGCGCCTTTGGGGCTCAGAGTGATGTTTTTGTTTTTGTCTGTTGGGTTGCGGAACTGTGAGTTCAAGGTGGGCTCAACCCTAAACACCCTTCCTAAACCCTAAGCTTATAAGCCCTAAACCCTAAACCCGAAACCCTAAACCCTAAACCCTAAACCCGAAACCCCCCAACAAAAGGCTGTTCATGCTTGGAGCTCCGAGGTTCATCTAGGCTCATTGTTGCATTAGCGGTCTTGGGAGCATTTAGGGTTTGGGGTTTAGGGCTTAGGGCTTTGGGTCTTGGGTTTAGGATTTAGGGCTTAGGGCTTAGGGTC